GAAGGGACTGTAGTTTTAGAGGCCCTGGTTGCCCTGGCTCACCTGTTGCCTCCATCCTCAGGTTACAAAGACCAGGGGCTGCCCCTGGACGCCCCTCGGTGCTCCTAGATTACCCTCCCCTTCATGCTTCTCTCTTGATCTTTCCCGGGGCCTCCCTTAGGCACGCTGCTCATCCCCTGGGTCATCACCTGCCCTAGGTACAGATCTGTGCCCAGAGGACATCACTGCCCTAGGTACAGATCTGTGCCCAGAGGACATCACCGCCCTAGGTGCAGATCTGTGCCCAGAGGACATCACCGCCCTAGGTGCAGATCTGTGCCCAGAGGACATCACCGCCCTAGGTGCAGATCTGTGCCCAGAGGACATCACCGCCCTAGGTGCAGATCTGTGCCCAGAGGACATCACCGCCCTAGGTGCAGATCTGTGCCCAGAGGACATCACCGCCCTAGGTGCAGATCTGTGCCCAGAGGACATCACCGCCCTAGGTGCAGATCTGTGCCCAGAGGACATCACCGCCCTAGGTGCAGATCTGTGCCCAGAGGACATCACCGCCCTAGGTGCAGATCTGTGCCCAGAGGACATCACCGCCCTAGGTGCAGATCTGTGCCCAGAGGACATCACCGCCCTAGGTGCAGATCTGTGCCCAGAGGACATCACCGCCCTAGGTGCAGATCTGTGCCCAGAGGACATCACCGCCCTAGGTGCAGATCTGTGCCCAGAGGACATCACCGCCCTAGGTGCAGATCTGTGCCCAGAGGACATCACCGCCCTAGGTGCAGATCTGTGCCCAGAGGACATCACCGCCCTAGGTGCAGATCTGTGCCCAGAGGACATCACCGCCCTAGGTGCAGATCTGTGCCCAGAGGACATCACCGCCCTAGGTGCAGATCTGTGCCCAGAGGACATCACCGCCCTAGGTGCAGATCTGTGCCCAGAGGACATCACCGCCCTAGGTGCAGATCTGTGCCCAGAGGACATCACCGCCCTAGGTGCAGATCTGTGCCCAGAGGACATCACCGCCCTAGGTGCAGATCTGTGCCCAGAGGACATCACCGCCCTAGGTGCAGATCTGTGCCCAGAGGACATCACCGCCCTAGGTGCAGATCTGTGCCCAGAGGACATCACCGCCCTAGGTGCAGATCTGTGCCCAGAGGACATCACCGCCCTAGGTGCAGATCTGTGCCCAGAGGACATCACCGCCCTAGGTGCAGATCTGTGCCCAGAGGACATCACTTGCCCCTTGCCGCCCACGACTCCCCTGCAGGACCCCAGGGACCAGCTGCCTGGGGACCTGCTCACATATTTGAACCCCAACACGGCACTGCGCGTGCAAACGCTGGGCCACGTGCCAGTCTTCACAATGACGACAATCCCCTGGACAAACTTGCATCCCAACTCCCCTCAATACAGAGGAGGGAACAGGCCCAGGGAGGGGAGGTGGCCTCCCCAAAGCCTTCTGAGTGCTTCCCTGAGCCCAGACTATTGGGCCATTGGAAAGGGGACACTGTGCCGGGAGAGCGCCTTGGAGCAGGGACATCCCGGGTTCCAATCCCAGCTCTGCCCCTCACTGGGTGGATCCTCACCTGTAAAATGGGGCAGAGGGTTCCAATGTAGTGGAGCTCATTGGAGGACTGAGCCCGACAGCTGGTGAAGGTGGGGAGCACCATGTGATGTCACATCACCTCGCGCTCACCAAGGCTGCTAACAAACAGCTGATGAAAAGGGCACATCTGGCCCGGCCAGTGTTTCTCAGTGGTTAGCATCAACCCATGAACCAGGAGGGCACGGTTCTATTCCCTGTCAGGACACGTGTCCAAATTGTGGGCTCAATGCCCAGCAAGGGGCATACAGGAGGCAGCCAATCAATGATTCTCTCTCATCATTGATGTTTCTATCTCTCTCTCCCTCTTCCTCTCCCTCTCCCTCCCTCTCTCTGAAATCAATAAAACCATATTAAAAAAAGAAAAGAAAACTGCTCATCTTCCCCCAGCCCACACATACCGTTTTCTTCCAAGAACCTGACCGCGTCTAAATACCCTCGTAGGAATAACTCTGCAAGCACCTGTAAGCGAAGCAAGTGAGTGAACTACCGGGCAGGGTCACTGAGCCTCACTCACTTAAACCGAAGGCCCCTTCAAACTCTGAGCTGCCTCCATGGGCCAGGCACGGCCTCTGTGTGTGGGGATGTTTGGGGCTGTTTTGACAGTAGTTGATTTCTACTTTCCTAACACTGTGATCTGGGAAGACGCTTGTAGAGACTTGTTTTGTGTCCTAGCATGTGGTCTATCTTTGTGAATGACCCACATGCACTTGAGAAGAACGTGTATCCTGCAGCCTGGGGTGGAATGTTATATAAATCTCAATTAAATCCATCTGATCCAGTGTGTCCTTTGGAGTCACTGGTTCCTTCTGTCTGGATGATCTGTCCAGTGAAGTTAGCAGGGTGTTAAAGTCCCCTACTGTAACTGTATTGCTGTCGATCTCTCCCTTAAAGTCCTTTAGAAGTTTTTATATATATACATATATTTAAGTGCCCCTATATGGGGTGCATATATGTTTACCAGGGTTATATCCTCTTGTTGGATCATCCCTTAGTATTATGTCGTGACCTCTGCTGTCTCTTCTGATGGCTTACATTTTGAAGTCTATTTTGTCAGATATGAGTATTGCCACCCCAGCTTTTTGTTTGTTTGTTTACATTTGCATGGAAAATGTTTCCCATTCCTTCACTCTCCTCTTCTGTGAGTCTTTTGTTCTGGGTGGGTCCCTTGTAGACAGCATGTAGTTGGGTCATTTTTATATCCATTCAGCTACCCTATATCTTTTCATTGGAGCATTTAATCCATTTACATTTAAGGTTATTATTGATAGGTACTTAATTGTTGCCATTTAAATTCTTTATGCCTAGGTTTCTCTATTTCGCTCTCGCTCTCACTCTCACTCTCTCT